AATGCTCAGTAGCCAGTAGAATTGGCCATTGGTCTGTGGTCCAGCTTCTGCCCATTTGAGCATAAATCTGGATCTCTTCCCGCTGGCTGCTTGGAGTTGCTGCCTGCCTGTAGCATACTGGTTTCCAGTTCAGGACAGCAAAACACATGGGACCCTTGCTAAAGTTTGGGGTGCAGAGCACAAATCCTCCCTGGTGAGCTGCTGGCAAACAGATTGGTTTTCTGAACATGCTTTATGATTGAGGTGTTCTTTGTTGCGGTTTTTCAGATTGGCTGACTGGGAGGGATGGAGCCCCCCACCCTGGTCAGATAGCATTGCTAAATAACTCTACTAAATAACTCTGTTAAATAACATAAATCTTTTTAAAATGCAACATGTATTCTTACAACATAAAATTGTTGCATGCACTCGGGTAAAGGCGACAGTTGTATATCTGTAGATAGACAGAAGGAAATATTTATTTATTTAAACCACTTCTCTACCACCTCATAGCCATAAGGCTTTTGAGGCAGTATATAGGAGTAGAATATTTTTTTTCTTCCTATCTGTGGAACTCCCTGCCACAAGAAGTGGCCACAAGATGGGGTAGTTGTTTTTTTTAAAAAAACAAAGGAACAAAACATGACGGCCTGTTTGCAATTACTAGCCATGCAGTACACCTCTGGTTCCCCGAGGCTGGGGCAACTGCTTGTAAGCTTCCTGCCAGTTGGTTTACTGCTTTGGAAAACTGAATGCCGGGCTATGGATCCCCTGAACACTTGTGTCAGTTTTTGTGCTTGCAGAAAGTGCTCAGGCAAGGGATGCTTCCACAGGTGAGAAGGAAAGCAGAAGGATTGTTTAGGCTAACGTATCTTGGACGCACCCAGAGAGCAAGTGAGGGAGTAATGTCATCGGACCTTCTTGATCTGTTAAACGCTGAGAATCAGCTTTTGGAAGTACATGTTCTTTGTGAAGTTTGGGTGTTCAGAACAGTATTGAGACTTTGCATGTCCAACCTAGGAAGGATCCTGACATTTTGGTGCAGTAGTTAAGAGCAGCAGACTCTAATCTGGCGAACCGGGTTTGATTCCCCTCTTCTCCACATGCAGCCAACCTTGGGTAGGCTGTTCTCCTCAAGAGCAGTTCTCTCTGAGCTCTCTGAGCCCCACCTACCTCACAGGGTGTCTCTTGTGGGGAGAGGAAGGGAAGGAGGGCATAAATCCAACTCTCCTCCTCCTCCTCTTGCTGAAAAGGGCAATTGAGGTACTGCTGGGCTCAGTGCATACCCACCCAGGACCACGAGAGGGCAGCATTATACTGTATTTTGCTCCTGCCAGTATATAGTCCGGATTTCCAAGTAGGGGAGGTCAGGAGGCTTGTTAGGTGGCTTGCCAAGCGATGTGCGTTGTTGAAGGAGGGACATGCCATAATAGAGGTTCGCTTTCCAGGAGGTTTTGGGAGTCTGCACGGAGAGCAAACACACAACTCCATCAGTCTAGGATGATGGTCTAGTCAGCATCAACAAAAACATCTAAAATGTCTCACAGGCTGAAGCAATGTGGATAATCTGTTTAGGTGTGTGTGATTCAGCTTTGCGGATAGCCTTTAAAAGCCCAATTCATTCCTACTGCTCAGTTCATTCCTATTCCACACACTCCCCTCTCTTTGTGAGACTGCAGAGCTTGTCGTATGCGCTGGCTGTTAGAAATACAGGGGCCCTGGGCTCATAAAAGCGCTGCAGCTCTATTGCTGCTGCTGCATTTATCTGAACTTCCTTGACTGCAAAAGCAACTCAGATGCTTGAGCCAACATTTTTGTAGAGCTGGATGGCTTGCAGCTGTGAAAAACCAAAGAAGGGAACTCCACCATGCTCTGGCATTGCAAGAGATCCTGGGGAGTCCCTATCAATCATGTGATGCAGTGGCCTGGAGCAACAAAATACACACACACATACATATAATATCTGAAGCTGTCTTAACACATGTATAAACACACCAAGCTGACTTACATTGAATCAGACTCTTGCTGTATCCAAGTCAGTTTTGTCTACTCAGACTGGCAGTGGCTCTCCAGGGTCTGAAGCAGAGGTCTTTCCCATCACCTACTACCTGGACGGGTTTTATGTGGAGACGCCAGGGACTGAAGTTGGGTCCTTTGCATACAAAGTAGATGCTCAGCCGTTGATCCACAGCCCCACCCCTGCCTCGTATCTCCCAGGCTTGAAGTCCTGAGGCAGGCAGCATTCATTTCGGCAGTAGTATGGCTGATGCGTTCTCACACACACACACCACAAACACACATACATTGGAAAGACCATCCTTGGCACTATCACTGCTGTCTCTGACCATCTTTAAAGCTGTAGGAAAGTTGCAGTGCACACCTGTGTAGAATCATTCCAGTCAGAGCCAATTGGTTTGACTTGGCTTTGGAGGGACAGCCAGCGTAGGGTTGCGTTGTTAGTCACAAAATGCCACACTGCTCTCTCCTGCCTGGGGAAGAGTGCTATTGTGCCGCTGCTCAGCTAATCCTCTTTGGTAGTGTTTTTTTTCCACCCAAGGAGGGAAGCAGTTAATGACTTGACAGGTCACTTTCATAAAGAATTGCAGGAGGTCAGTTGAAGCTGGTGCCTCTTTTTGGACAGTTGCCGTGGCCCTTGGAAGATGTTGACTGTTGACTAAAGAGTCTGGATTGCTTTAAACGTAAGGAAGTGCTTGTGCCATCTGCTCCCCTCCTTTAATGATTTCGGGCTTTCCGATGTCTGCACCCAAGAGAGAGAGAAACTTTTTTTTCCTAGTTGGGATTTCTAGTTTCAGTATTCCAAGAAGACTGTGTGCCGCTGCCTGGGATACAGACAGGGCTGACAATCTCCAGGTGGTGCCAGAAGTCCTCCCAGAATCCCAGTTGATCTCCAGATGACACAGATCAGTTTCCCTGGAGAAAATGGCTGCTTTGGCGGGTGGGACTCTACAGCATTACACCTTGCCCTCCCCGGGCTCCACCCCCCCCAAATCTCCAGGAACTTTCCAACACAGAGTTGGCAGCCCTAGATACAGAGGAACTGCTGCTGTTTAACCACATCAGTGAGGTGCTTTGATTGTTCCTCAGTTGAGTGGAACCCATTTGAAACGCTGCTCTTTTCTTCATACACTTCCTCAGCAAATGGGTATGATTTCTGATTGTGTTATTTTGCAAGCCTAAACAAAAGCTGATAAGAATGACATTTCAGGAAGTTGCAATTAGCCAAAGAAAAGCTGTTCTGTTTGCGTGGAGGGGGGGGAGTTAACATTTTGAGGAGGGGATGCTTCGGAACTCCAGGGGCAGCGTAAAGGGCTCCTGTTGTAACTTTGTCAGCTTCCGTAATTGCCAATTAGGGGGGCAAGAGAGCCTGGTGCTGACTTGCATGGCAGGCTTGTTCTGTAATGAGTCAGACTGTTGTTCCCAGGAGCCCCGTGTTGCCTGCTCTGGCTAGCAAAAGCTTGTCAAGATCTCAGAGGATTGTCATCCCCCCCCTCCCCCAGTCTTGCTATATGAGCTCCTTGGAGACTGGATTGGTGCATGCCAAGGAAGTGTGAGCTCCTTCCACCGGAGATTGAATGAGAGACTTCGTGCATGCCGAGCAGGTGCTCTGTGGATGAGCAACAGGTCCTTTCCCAAGTTTGCTAACTTATACGTGGTGGTTCCCTTGGGCTATCAGGATTTGAACCCATACTGCCACAGCACAAATCTAATACCGCAGCCACATAAAGCACTGAGCCATGCATAAAACCAGTTGAACTGTATTGTTGGATGCTTTATGGTTGGTTACTGTACAGCCATGAAAGGCATGGGACAGTTGGGGGGGGGAGTCACATGATCCAGAGCCAAGTGAGAGGGTTTCTGTGCCAAGACCACTCCTGCCCATTCCTGTAGATCTCAGCACCATGTCCAGTCTTCTTGTGGGCTGGATAGCCTTTGGTCTGATCCTGGCTCCTTTCATTGCAGGGGTTTTCCAGGGCCCAGACGTGTGCTGTCGAGAACACGACCAGTGTGAAGCTCAGATCCATGGCTTGGAATACAAGTATGGGATGCGGAATTACCGGTTGCACACCATCTCTCACTGCGACTGCGATGCCCGGTGAGCATATCGGGGATGACCCTTTTGTGGCTTTTAATGTAGGGCTACAATTAATTGTTTTAGGGTTCCGGTCCTGGGTGCACCCTTCCTTTGCGGGGGAGAGGGCTATCTCAGTAGCAGAGCACAGCAGAAGGCCCTGGGTCCAGTCTCTGGCATCTCCTGTTTTGAGCAGTTTGGCCAGGAAGGAACTCCCAAGAGCTGCTGCAGTCAGAGGCAATCGTACTGGGCAGAATGGTCCCAAGATCTGGCTGTGTGATGCTTGAGCTACCTGCTTTCGAGCCATTTGCATGAGGAGGGAGTATCTGGCTCCGTAGGAAGGACATGGGAGGCTTTTATCCCCAAGTCCTTCATATGCCTTGTTTGCACACACCTTTTGGGACTCGCTGTGCTTCTCCTGAGATAGTTCCCTACCCTCTGTGGCTTGTTCCCTGCTGAGCACTTGGTTTCTTTCCCACCATGGAACCTGTCTAGAGTACGTGACCATTTTGTCAGCCACTTGCAGCCCCTGCTGGGGAGAGGGATCAGCTTACGTTCCTGGGAAGTAGATCTCAGTTGAACACGAAGGGAAACTTTCTAACAGTAAGACCCGATCAACACCGGAAGCCAGTTACTTGGGCAATGAGGTCTCCCTTGCTGGGCATCCTCTCCAGCAGAGGCAGGACAGCTGGCCGTCAGGGATGCCCCGACTTCCCTGCATTAAGCAGGTGATTGATCTAAAAGGCCCACGAGGCCCTTTTCCACTCTGCGATCTTAAGTGCAAACAAAAATGGCTCAGTCCGTTAGAATTTGTTTCCATCAGGGGAAGACAAAACTACAGAGGGTGCCCAATTTGCCAGGTGTACAGTACTGGACTCAGCGACCAAGGGAGGGGTTAAGTGTGCTGTCTGTAGACAAGGCCAGTGAGTTCTTGCATCATTCTGAGGTTTGCTGCCCCAATTAATTATTTCCTTGTGGTTTGTGCTGTATGAGCCTGGAATAGCTGTAGTATTATCCCAGGGTGCTGCAAATGAACACTTCTAGTTTATTAAAGCAGTTCAGTTTTTCCATTTGGGTCATAACTGTCATCTTATTGTGATGAGAGACTGCAGTGGCTGAAGGGGAATCTTTGGTTCAAACTCATACTCAGTGGCCTTGCCTACTTTGCAGGGTTGTTTTCTGCCAAACTCGCACTGCATCCTAGAGGAAGAATGGAATCACTATAATCCAGTAGCAACTGCACAACAGGTTCAGCTCTAAACAATATCAGGGTCTCTGCTTGGGGAGCCCCAGGTTTCCAGAAAAATAATGACTTTGTAAATTAATCAAAAGCAAAAGAAAGAAAAATACCCTCAAAACTGGCATGCTGAGGCCTGAGCGTGCTCCAGGAGGCACAAAAGAGCAGCTAAGCCTGTTAAAAGGGGGGAAAGGGGCATGTGTGAGAAATCAGCCTGCTCAAGCACTTGGGCGCTTAATGCTTCCTGGAGGGGAAGTTTTTGAGGAGTGGGGTGGGAATTCCAAATTGCTGTTCCTGTGACCCTTCACAGTTGACTACAACTTGAATAGTGAACCTCATAGCAGACCGGAGCACTCAGCTAGTCTGCGGGAGGTGCTGGCATTGCACAGTTCCCCACCTCCCTGAGTTTGCTTTGTGGCTGGGCAGGGACCTCAACCCAGGTTCCATGCCCATCCATTACCCTGCATAGGCTGTCTTGCAACACACACACATCCTGAGCTCTGCTCATTTCTCTGTTGCCCTCGACAGGTTCAGGCAGTGCCTGATGACTCTCAATGACACCATCTCGAACTTTATTGGCATCAGTTTCTTCAACCTGCTGGAAGTCCCTTGCTTTGTCCTGGAGGAGAGTGAAGAGTGTGTGGAGTGGCACTGGTGGAGCGGGTGAGTGATCTCTCTTATAGGGGGCGGGGGCGTGGAGTGCTTTCACCTGGATGGGGAAGCGCAGGGTCAGCTCAACCTGATAAGCAGTGCCAGCACGCACTGGCAGCGTTCAGGGAAGCAGTTCCCCATCCTCAATTTCACATCCTTCTTACCTTTATAGAAACGTCTGTTGTAGGGTGACCATCTGGCTTTCTTAGGCACTGTCTGAGAAATAGCGAGTGGTGAGGAGTTAACAGATACGTGGAGCTCTTGGTCTTGGGAGCCAGTTTTGTGCAGTGGTTAAGTGCACGGACTCTAATCTGGGAGAACCGGGTTTGATTCCCTGCTCCTCCACGTGCAGCTGCTGGGTGATCTTGGGTCAACCACAGTTCTTACAGAGCTGTTCTCTCAAGAGCAGTCTGCTCAACGAGAAATCTGACCATACCACATTGCCGCCTCCTTCCCGTCCTGGAAGGCACAGGGTCAAGGGCCAGAAGCACTCTCAAAAGAACCGCCGGAAGCGCCCTGGTCAAGAGACTGCCAAACGGCAGAGGCTACCTCCAGAACCTGACAAGAGGCAGGATTTGGTCACCCCACAGATCCCCATCTCCAGGCTAGATCTGACCATATTGTCCCAAGCACCCCGCTCAACGAGAAATCTGACCGTACCACATTGCTGCCTCCTCCCCGTCCAGGAAGGCATAGGGTCAAGGGCCAGAAGCACACTCAAAAGAACCGCCGGAAGCGCCCTGGTCAAGAGACTGCCAAACGGCAGAGGCTGCCTCCAGAACCTGACAAGAGGCAGGATTTGGTCACCCCACAGATCCCCATCTCCAGGCTAGATCTGACCATATTGTCCCAAGCACCCACAAGCCCAGGGACTACCCCCATAACCAGGGGAGCTATGTCCTTGTTGCCTACTTTGGGGGGCACAGCAGAAATAGGTGTGTTGAAGACAGGGGCTACTTTGACGGAGCATCCAGTCATCCAGCAAGCCCATCCAAAAGAAGCCAAGCAACCCACTGAGGTGGTACCGACAGGGGAGCCGCTCTTGGTCACCAGCAGACGGAGAGACCCTGCCGTGCCAAGCAGCCCAGGTGAGTGACTGACCCACTGGGAAGGGTGTGTTTGTGTGCGCGTGCATGTAATTCTGGGAGACAACCATGTAGAACTACAAACCACCTTAGCATTATAAAATTGTGAATGGACCGAAGGGTAAGCGGCGTGAAATCTTCCTCTCTTTCTCATCAGATTAGCACTTTCCCCCTTGCTCATCTAATTCAAACAAATGTACTTGCTGTTTCTGAAGCTGTTGTCTCAAGGCAAGTGGGAATCTGATTGGCAGCAGATTCAGGACTGAGGGAAGGAAGGATGGAAGGAAGGGGGGTTTAAGGGGTGGGTGTGTTTATTTCATGACGAAGTTCCTGGCCCAAGATGTGGTGATGGCCCCTGTTGTAAACAGGAGGACAAATTTATGGAGGAGGAGAAGTGTCACCGTGGCTAGGAGCCAAGATAGCAAAACTGGAACCTCTGTGTGTACTAGATGCTGGGTACCAAGGACAGGGGAGAGCTGTGGCTTGGTAGGCCCGGCCCATGAGCTTCCAGGGGTATCTTGATGGGTTTTGTTTGAAGCAGAATGCTAAATTAGAAGAGCCTGATCCTGATCCCACAAGGCAAGCCTTGCATGGTTATGAAAAGGGGGATACACTGTGCCGGTATGTGGTGGTCTCTGGGGTGGTGGCTTGGATGATCCTCCTTCCTTGGCGCTCACCTGCCACCCCTCTTGCCTCACTAGCTCCATCACAGAGCTGTCACTGCTACAGACGCCTAGACCAGTGCCCATACAGGATTGTGCCCAACGAGGTCAAGTACCAGCTGCACAACCTGGATTCCCGCACCCTCTTCCACTGCAACTGCACCCGCAGGTAAGTCTGGTCAACCCCCCCCCCCATGGCATCGTCATGGGGTGGGGGAGCATTCCTAACAGGAAAGGAGGGTTGCAGCCTTGCAGGGGAGATGCTGATGAGGGCCGGATTCTGGTTTTTTATTCTGAGCCACTTCCTCCTGACTAGGCTGGCCCGCTTCCTGCGCAAGACGAAGGGTCCCAACGAAGTGGAGGAGGAGGTGCTCTCCGACTATGTCTCCTCCTCCTGTTTCCTGTTCCAAGCCCCACCAGGCTGCATGGAGGGAGAGGAAGAGCAGCCCAAGTAAGTGCCAGAGACACATGTGGAGGAGGAGGAAAGGGGTGCGGGCTGGCACGAAGCAGTAGCTCCAGTTGGCCAACCCACATGTTCCCCAGAGAGCACTGCGGTCAGGATCCCAAAATCATCTGGCCCTTCCAGGCCCCAAAGACATCAGGCTGGCATCAACTGGGTCCAGGGCCTTTTCAGTGGTGAGTCCGTGCTGGTGGAATGAGCTTCCGGAAGATCTCAGGGCCCTGCGGGACCTTTTACAGTTCTGCAGGGCTTGCAAGACGGAGCTCTTCCACCAGGCCTTTAGTTAAGGAGCCGCACTCAACACACAAAGGCCCTGTGTCCAATACCACCACCGACCACCTGAGCTTCGCCGACTTAACATCAAATACTGGCCACATTATTAGAATGTTGATGCTACTCTGCTTTTGCCATCGCCATTCAGATTGTTCACTAGCACCTTATGTTGTGTTTTTAAGCTTTTACCTATATTGTTGTTTTAGCTACGGCATTTTATGTCAGCCGCCCTGAGCCTGCCTTGGCAGGGAGGGCAGGGTATAAATGAAATAAATAAAATAGAATAAATAATAAACATTTCTGCCAGCCCTGAGACCCTACACAGCACAAACTCCAGGGCCCCTTCCCACAACTACCAGGGTGCTCCCCTGACTTCTCATGGGCTTTTCGAGGTCAGAGACGTTCAGAGGTCATTGGCCATTGCCTTCCTCTGCATGGCAACCCTGCTCTTCCTTGATGGTCTCTCATCCAAGCACGAGCCATGGCTGACCTTGCTCAGCTTCTGAGCTCAGGTGAGTCTAGGCTATACTGAGCGTGATTAACCTGCGGTATTTTCTCTTGCAGTTGCATCGATGTAGGCAGAGCCATCTTGGCCCCTGCCCGCCACCTCACTAACAGACTGACACGCAAACAACCGGGTGCCTCCTTCAAAATGAAGCGGCATGAACGGACACCGCCGGGGAGCCCCGTCAAGCTCTATGAAAAGTGTATGCAGTTGGCACAGGCAACACACCCCACCATGCCTCAGTGAGGTGGAGGCAGGATTTCCAAGTGGACATTGTTGGGGGGGGGGAGCAGCAAGACCTAGTAAAAGAGCCATGCCCAGGCCAGACCTAAGTTTGACTGAACTTCCCTGGTGGAACCTGCACTGCTACAGGGCCCAGTGTGGCTTTTGGACTACCTCTGTTGTTCTGCTGGACTGGGAGTAGCAAAAGAATCCCAGTTTGGGTCAAAGCACTGTCATTACCTCCACGGGTATGAAATGTGTACTCTCCGTCTGCTCCCTGCCTCAGGCCTTGACTTTGAGACAGTAAACTGTGCAGGGAGTGGGATAAGGGACATGTCACCCTATAAGAGGGAGCAGCCTTCCTTCAGACTGTGGTTGCTGTAGGATTCAAAGAGCTTGCTCAGTTGCCATTGGGCTTACCCAGGACACATTTGTGGGCCTTGGAACATTATGGTATCTCTCAGAGGTCAACTAATTCCAGGTTGACTTGAATCGGGGATCCAGGAAGCCTGGGTCCTCCTGGTGGCACTCTGTATGTCCCTCTGCTTCCTAGGGAACTGAGCAACCCTACACCTAGCTCTTGGCACACCAAGGACATTCCTAGAAGGGATGAAGTTCTCGCTGCATGGTTACTTAGCATCTGTGAAACTCAGATTCCCCTGGCGTGGAAGGCAGGGGCAGGAACTCTGCACCTTCCCTGTAATTTATTAGGAGGAGGAGTAGCTAGTAGAACAAGTGGCATGTAAATAATGTGGCAATAAAGCATTTTTATGAGTTGGTAGCAGACCAGTCCTCTGCTTAGAAATGTTAGGTGCAAAACATAGACACTGGAGGGCTGTGTGTACAATATACCCACATTCTGACGTTTTGCATTTGCATATGCGTGTGCAAAACACATGCACGCTCCAGCCATACAATGTGCCCAGCAAGCATACACCACATGGGCACTTCTGTAAGTTCGTAGATGATTTATTGGAAAGGAGGAGAGAAAGAGGTAGGACAGATTGCATCAATTCTGAACTCGTCCCAGCGAAGGTCATAGATCTGCCTACGGGGAGACCAGCCCCCCTTCCTCCCCCCCAGCTCCCTGGGCTGCTTCCTTTGTTCTTGGTCCGTGCCATCATTGGCCTAGCATTGCCCAGGAAACCAAACTGGCCCCAGTTCCTTTAGGCTTTTGGACCCCCAACGCCATTCTTGCTCCAGGACAGTGGACACAGAGAGCCACATCTTTGTTCCTACAGTCCCCATACCGTCAACTCTACATTGCATCCTCCTCAGCAAAAATTACCTGCCAGGTACTCAGTACCAAACTCTTCAGTATCATAGGAACCCCACCACAACCATTGCAGCCCCAACTGGCTGTATCACCAGAGCCCCTGTTGCCTTGACAACGATAAACCGGCCTGCTTCTTGCTCAGAAAACTAGGCCCCACCTGCTTCTGCCTGCTCCCAGTTCTTTCGCTCGCTCCACCGTGCCCTTTTGATCCTGCTGCTGATCATCTCCCTGGGAGCAGGCTGAGCCACATCCCTGTGTGGAACCAGCTTTGACCACCAAGCGCCCCAGTCAAAAGCAGCACCCCCTCGACAAGCCCCTCTCTCTACAACGGCTGCCTGTGTTGTAAGAGCCATCTCCAGCCAAACTGACTGACTGGCACTCCGGGCTTTCAGAGAATAAGCTGTTACCCTCACCCACACAGTGCTGCAGTCTGAGAGCAGAAATCTTCCTCTGGGAGGACAGGCCTCATCTCAGAGCTAGACTAGGCCTTCACTGGGTGGAGACTCGCCAAAGGAAATTGTTGTGTGGGCTTTTAAGGCTGCATGACTAATAGAAGGTGAGGAATCCAAAGGAAGAGGCCTTTTGTTCACAATGTACAGCCCCTGATGAAAGGCAGGGTTGATTGTCAGGCAGACGGAGTCAGGAGGCAGGGCCTCACCAGTGGCAGCACCTCCCGGAATGGGAGGGCCTTGTATCACACCAGGGGGAGACAGAGATCATACACACGGCAGAACACTGGCAGGTGAGGACACAAGGAAGTAATACTGCAAGCTCGCTACGCAGGGTGGTTTGACAGTGGGCTCACGATGGCTGACCTGGTTCTTTCCTCTCAGAGTCCCACGTCCCGGCTGTGGTTGTTGGGATCTTGGGGATCCTGGGATCCCCCCTCCTTTGGGGAGGTACTAAACAGAGCAGACAGCCCCGCCGTAGGGCTGGTGGGGCTCATTCTACGGGAAGGCAGGCCCTGGTCAGTGCTGTCCCGGCGGTGGGCCATGACTTGGTCAATAGTCTCCAAGCGCACAGCTGGCAGCAGGCCCAGATTGCGGGGGTCGGCCCGCGCCAGGGGGTTGTCATCGAAGCGCCAGGCGGCCTGGAGCCTGGGACCCACACAGCTCTCTGTGTTTGGCGCCATCTCCCGTGACTTGGAGCGTTGCCGGGAGCTGTCCGTGGAGAAGTGGATGCTGGGAATGTCTGCCTTCAGGATGCTGCTGGTGCGGCGGCCCTGGGGGGACGGGCTGCGGCTGGTGCCCTGGTCCCGGCTCGAAGATCTCAGGATCAGACCCTGGAACTTGGCCAGGCTGGGGCTGCGGCTACGGTGGCGCTTCATCTTCCCCGGGCTGGGGCTGCGGGACTTGGGGCCAAGAAGCACCATAGTGCTGTCGTCCTCCTCGTCGGAAGTAGCACTCGAGCTGTCCGTGGGGCTGCTGACCTGCTCCGAGGTGGGCAGCGAAATCTAAATGCCGGGAGAAACAGATTGGGGGGGGGAGAAGGGGAAATAGTCAAATTGGAATGGGAAGTTCTGCTATAATCGCAATTATTTCCCGTAGCGAAATATTTATCTAAAACCAAGCGGCAGTTTTAAGAAAGCCTACACGTTGCAGAGACCTCAGGGGCCCTGAACTGCACACGCCTCCCCGCCCCCCACAATGTCACAGTCACCCTCCACACACACACGTGCAGTGCTTTAGGAGTTAATGGCAGCTATACGAGGGAAAGGAAAGTCTCGGGTACCCCTGTGCGGAGGGTAATGCCACCCCATCAGCCTCACTGTCAGCAGACTTTGGCCCCTCTCTGCAGGGCCCCAAAGCGCCAGGGTGTTCTTTAGAAGCCAAGGAAAGCCATTGAGAACGGAGCAGTCCCCTCCGGCTAGCTCCACAATGCTATATTGGCTTTCTGGAAGAGAGGACTGTACCGAGCTGTGTGAACCTTGCCCCTGAACACAAATGTCAAAACAAGGTGCCAAGGCAGCCCAAGTACTATACTGAGCTCATGTCCCTCCAAACAGCAGAATTTTGTAGGTAATACACATTCATGAATATCGTCAATTTACATCTGTCTGCATCATTCATTCAGTTATTCACCAGAAAGTTCAAGTGTGGAGCGAGGAAAGTCCTCTGGCCCTCACCACTGGAAATCCCACTCAGCTCTTCACACCTCTGGTCCTTCACTGTACGCAATTTCATGAAGGTTTTCACAGATTCATGAAGGAGAGGTCTATCGCTAGCTTGGAGGGCCCCCCCCGGTCTAAACAGAACCTCCATGTATAGGGGCAGAATACCACTGAGTAGCAGTTGCCATATCAAGGAGTTTCCTTATCACACTTTTAAGCCTCCGATCATAGTCTTGAGGGCTAGCATCTTGTTCCCTCTTTCCTGTGGCTGGTATCTTTTGATCTTCTGACATCTCACCAAATATTTACAAAAGGTTACACAGTCGATTTGGAACCAAGACCTGCATTTTGCTTGCAAAACCTGGATTTTCTTAGAGTTCTCTTTTAAAAAAAATGCTACAGCATATAAACCACCCGGTCAACTCAGCCATCCATTTCCTTGATGCTCACCTGGAAGGGCTCTGTCACACCCACCATACTGCTGTAGTTGTGGCTATAGTAGCCCAAGATGTATTCACCTTTTCCTTTAGGCAAAGACTCCTCTGGAAACAGGACCTAAAT